TTCTCCCACCCCGACTCCCTTCTCCAATCCCTTTCTTTCTCCCTCCACCTCAGCCCCCTTCTCCCACACCGAGTCCCTTCTCATTCTCCCTCAATCCCTGCCCCCTTCTCCTAACCTGACTCCCTTCTCCAAACCCCTTCTCTCTTCCTCCATCCATCCCCACCCCTCCACCTCCCCCAGTCCCATTCTCCCTTATTTCGATTCAGAAAGTATTAATAAAACAACTTCTGTTAGTGAAATGAATGGGACTGATAATTAACAAATCTGGGGACCAATAACCTTCGCCCTAGAGCATTGGAAGGGATGGTGACAGATAAAGGGTTGATCATCTTTCACAATTTTATTAATGCTGCAGTGCTGCCTGAAGCTTTGGAAATTGCAAATGTAACTCTATTACTTAAGAAAGGAAGGAAGGAGACAGCAGGCAACTCCGGACCTGTTAGCCTGGCATCAATAGTAGGAAAATTACGAGATGCTATTATAACAAAGTGATTACTGGTTATTGAGAAAATGATTTAACTGAACAGATTTATGAAGGAGATGAAGTTTGGGGATAGCAGGAATATGGCATTGAGGAGCTGATCAGTCATGATTTAGAATAACAGAGCAAGTTCAATGAATGGCCTACTCCTGCTATTTTTGCAGATTCTTATGTACTCGGATGGCCTTATTCCCAAAACCCAAGGGACCTTACCTGTTCTCATTTACCTTTAATGATCTGATTATTGCTGTTGTGAGAGGTGGCAGCGCGCAAAATGGCTACCATGTTTCCTGAATGACAACAGTGGCAACAGTTCAAAAGTACCTTTGAAAACATCAAGCATTTTGGGGCAGCCCATGTTGTGAAAGGCCTGCCACTTGTCAGCCCAAACATTGATATAGTTCAGGTCTTGCAGCTTTTTGAACCTGGACTGCTTCAGTATCTGTGGAGTCATGAATGGTTCTGAAGATTGTGCAATCATTAATGAACAGCCCCACTTCTGACCTTGTGACGGAGGGAAGATCATTGATGAAGCAACAAAGATGGTTGGGCGTCAGATACTATCCTGCAGAGATGTCCTGGAATGATTGGTCTCCAAAAAATGTAACCGGACTTGTCCAATCTCTGAATTTATACACAGGAACAAAAGCAGAAGTTGCTGGAAAAGCTTAGCAGGCCTGACAGCATCTGTGTTCAGAGTTCTGGGGAAGGGTCACCGAACCCAAATGTTAACTCTGATTTTTTCCTCCCAGATGCTGCCAGACCAGCTGTGCTTTTCAAGCAACTTCTGTTTTTGTTCCTGATTTATAGCATCCTCAGTTCTTTCGGTTTTTATTCTGAATTTATACATTCTGCCATTTCACAGCTTCTACCATTGAGTCTATGCACAGTTCCCCCGACACTCGTAATTCCTTTTCAATATTTTAATTCTACCCTTAAAGTGAAGAGCGCATAAGAGTGTTCTTAGAACAAGAAATACTTCACTGGAATCCTTCCTGAGGTAGATAGTAGAACTTTATATAGAAAAGGAATTTAAATATTGAAGTAGTAAGAATGTAAAAGAAAGGGTATGGAAATTAGAGTCTCATTGACATTATAGACAATGTACTCTGATGTGTGTGATCATATGAGTCTGTAATGTGTGATATGTATTTCCTGTAGAACTCAGGTCAAAAATATGGACAAAACAAGCAGGAAGAAGGTGAGTAGTTTGAAAAATTCTGTTGAAAAGATCAAATGTACAGCCTGATTGATCTCTATTACAATAGAGACAACAACTGTGATAATTTAGTGTTTTCAACATTTACATTTTGAAATGAAAATTTGAAACTGCCCATACTTTGTTCTTGTTCCTATGCAGAGGTCACATTTTATTCAATATCTTCTCCAGACAATGGAATTCATCCAAATATTACAGGAACTGAACATAGTATATCTCTGGTAAATTTAGGATAACTTTAGCTAATAGTGATCAGAAAATATATGTTACATACCTCGTATCCATTGATGTCCTGCTAAACTCAACTGCTTTCCAACTTTTGGGAAAAAGAAATTTGTACCTTGTTCTTTTCCTTGTAAAACTGCAGGACACTTTAAAGGCTTCCTGTATCTTGTATAAAGGTTCCTGATGACTTGTGTAGCAATCACCTTTAACTAGTGTAAACCACAAATGGCATTTAAACATTGCAGTTTTGGAAAAGTAAAGCCAAATAGTTTTATTTTCGTATAGTTGTTTAAAGATATTCCTGTTTGCTGTTGTTCAGTGTCCTTGGAATCCACTAGCTTAATACAGAACTCCACTCTTCATTTGATAAGTGATCTTCTCAAGAATTTTGAAACATTGAAAAGTGTAAGAAGTGATTAGCATTTTTTGAGACAAGCTGGGAAGCCTTATTGAAGGAAAAAGTGCTAGTTGCATCGTCTCTTTTCCATGTGAACATGAACATTTTTGAAATTTTTTCACGTGTCTTCCACTGATATGGTTAACAAACTGGGACCGGAGGTGATTAGAATGACTGCTAACCCTAAACCCTAACAGCACCAGTCTTAAACAGACTTCTTCAAACCCAGTCCCTATTTCTTCTTCACACTGACAGTGCTGAATGTTGTAGGCAGATTGTCTCTGGTGTGTGTGGGGTGGGGGTTGAGACTGTCATACACCTTCTTCTGGAATGTGCCTTTGCAAAGGAAATCTGGAGAAAGATGCAATGGTTTGTGTCCAGGTTCATCCCGAGCAGCTCTGTGACGCAGGACTGTGCTGTACAGTCTGTTCCCCGGGTCACACATTGAGACAAACATCGACTGCACCTGAAGGACCATCAACCTGGTGAAAGACGCTCTTTAGTCTGCCCGAAACCTGTTGGTCTTCCAGAGCAAGGAGTTGACCTCGACCAAGTGTTGCAGACTGGCACTTTGCAAGGTCCAGGACTCTATGTGTTGAAGGATGCACTAAAGCTTGGGGCAGCTGCTGCCAAGGCGCTGAGGAAAGACCACCGTCTGAGGTCTTCCTGCTGAAGTTAATTAGGGGTGTGTTCAGTTATCGGAACCTCCTAGTGCCTCGAATGCATGGAAGTATGGTGTGGTTTAAGTAAGAGATGCCTTTGGTTTGTTGGATAGAGTCAAACTCCAGTGTTTGTTTGTTTCCTTGACATGCTCCTGTATAGAACTGAACTGTGTTTGTGAATATGTTCAGATATAAAGATATTTTTTGTGAATGAAGTATATTTTGAAATTGAAAAAAAGTCTCTCTAGTACTACAACATAATTATCTTTTCAAACTTTGCCTTGCTTATTTGACGAGCTGAACTGTTTTTCTCTCCAGTAGGGTATAAACAAGGCCAGTCACGTGAGAGATGGAGCAGCAGCCAGAGAGGATGAAAACCTTGGCTTTCCTGGCTGACTTGGGCAAACCTACTCTTCGGGGCATCAAAAAGTGCCCCAAGTGTGGCACCATCAATGGCACTCGTGGACTGAGCTGCAAGAATAAAAGCTGTGGTGCTGTCTTCAGGGATGGCGTGCGGAAGCAGCAACCCAGCATCGATGCTGTTCGCATAGTCACGGGATCTGCTTCGCAGGTGTACTCAGTGAGGCTTCGGGATCGAGGACCTGATTACCGGGGCTTTGTGGAACTCGGCACAACAGAAGCAATTCAGACGGTCGATGGCACCGTTATTACGCATGTGACCAGCCGCTGCCTAGTCCCCACCTGTTTCAAAGTGACCTCACAGGAGGTCTCCGAGAATCAGTGCCAGCACATTAAGCTCGCCATGGAGTGCCATGTGGAAGCCACTCCGCACACTCTGAAGAGCTCTGTGCTGAACTCTCTCCAGGTGTCTGCTGAGACCAAGCAGGCCATCTGGACCCTGGCGACTGAGTCGAGCGGACCCCTGGTGCAGAGGATCACCAGGAGCATCATGGTGGTGAAGTGCAAAGCTAGCCCCAAGCACAGTTTGGGCTTCCTGCACGTTTCGTTCCACGAGAAGGCTAGGCTGAAAGGTGTGACAGAGCGCAAGTTCTACTGCTCCTGCCAGGCTTTCAAAACCAGTAAATCCAGCTCCAACAAAGAGGAGCCACCGAAACGATGCATTCACTTCTACGCGTGTGTCTGTGCTTTTGCCAGTGATGAGAAGCTGGGGAAAGAATTTTCCTACTTTATCAACTTTGATTCCATGAGTAGGTGCAGAAGTTCTGGTGAGTACAAATTTGTTATTTCCTGAACTGCCACATGATGTTACAAAGACTGGAAGGTGACTTTCCTGTCCAAAACACTATCCGATGGAGGTGTAGACTCCTTTCTAGATTTAATCACAAATTTGAACATTCTTTAGCTAAACAGGAACCCTGTTTGCTCTTGCTGTTGAACGCAAAAGATCTCTGATGTACACAAGAGACCCCCAGTGCTATTGAGAAGAGTGAGGGAGTTCTCCTGCGTGTCCAAGCCAATTTTGATCCCTCAACCAACACTGACAAACGGATTGCCTGATCATTATCACACTGCTGTTTGTGGGATCTCTCTGTGCCTAATCTGGCTGTTCTGTTTTCCATGTTAATACTCTCCTGGCTTTATAAAGTGCTTTGAGACATGCTGAAGATGCAAACAGTGCTATATAAATGTATATCTTTATTCTGAACCCAGTTGTGTGAAGGTGTAGATCAGCAGAACTGACTAGCCATTAGTGAAGCCTGTAAATGTTATGGGAGAGCCATCAATAAAATCACTGTTTTTAAAAAAATAACAAATATACAATAAAAAGAAAGATGAGTATCTAGGCCCTTGACACAGCTCAGAATTTATATCCATAGAGCTGATGACACTTGTGACTCCGTTAAAAGAAAAATCCCAAGGCTTCCTTCATCAGTACATAGCAACACCACAGAACAGCAATTCTGCAATTTACACATCAAAGTCTGAGTTGTAATTTTGCATAGATCTGTTGTAATCAGACATTAATGTATTGGCACTCAAGTGTTCTCTTAAAGTCCTTGAACTTTGTTCTCCCAGTAATGATATTTGGTCCTTCCACCAGTTCCCTTTCTTGCCTGTGAAACAAATTTCCACGTATGGTTAGTGGTTTTGCTTCCTGCTGCCATTCTGCCTTTGCCTTCTGTCCTGAAGGCAGCAATTCTCTGATGGGGAAGAGGCAGCAGCAGCCTCTGGCATCTCACTTTAAGCATGAGCTGGAAGATTGATTTTCAGGAGGGGTCCATAGTTAAACCAAGACACATGGACTCTCCACAGGCTTTCAGTGGATAAGGATCAAGAGCAAAGAGGCGTACCTGATTTCTTTTCGCCTCTTTTGCAGCATCAGAAATTTGGCCATGATGGAAGGCTGTAGCTATTTTGTTACTGCTACATGGCTATTAATTTGATGGACACCTGATTATTACTTTGCCAAGCAATCATTCACGGTGGAACACTCAGGAAATATTCAGTTAGTATATAGTATTATATTGTAATATATTAACATGTAGCTTAGCCATCAAAGAGATACAAGTTAAAAAGAAGTTAGGACCAAGACAAGTAGTGTCATTTTCCTATTCATTTGTGCATATAGGTGTGTTGTTTGGCCCAGCGTTTATTGCCCATCCCTAATTGCCCCTTGGGAAGGTAGTGGTACACACCCTACTTGAGCCACCACAACCTCTGTGGCTAGGGCCATCCACTGTGCTGTTAGGGAGGGAGTACCAGAATTTTAACCCAGCGACACTGGTGGAATGGCAGAATAATGCCGAGTCAGGATAGCTTGTGGCTTTGGATGGTGCTCCTATGTATCTGCTACCCTTGTCTGCCTCAGTGTTAGAGGGCTAGGAAGCAGCCTGTTATTGCAGTGCATCCTGTAGATGGTACATACTGCTGCTACTGAGGGCCTCAGACAGAGGGAGTGAATGTTTCAGGAGTGGCCCTAGTGTTGATCAAGTGGGCTGCTTTGTTCAAGATATTTTCGAGCTTCTCGAGTGTTGTTGGAGCTGCCCCCATCCAGTAGAGTGGGGAGTATTCCATCACACTCCTGACTTGTGCCTTGTCAATTTGTGCAAAGGCTTTGGGGAAACAGTTGCTCGCCACAGTACCTAAACTCTAAGCTGCTCATGTATATGATCCCCCCCCCACCTCCAAAGAAAATGATGTTATACTGGGGGATTCAGTGATGATAATGTCTCTGAATGTCATGGGAGGTGGTTAGGTTCTTAAAGTACCAATCGATGTTGACTAAGTTACTGGGGAAGTTCCTTGAGGGAGGGTACAAATAAATTCACAAAACAACTGACTGCATTCTGGAGAGCAAGAATTGAAAGATTTATTGAGAAGATGGGGCCAATCAGTATTGTTGAGCCGAATGTTGCATGGAATTTACATTTTTACATAGAACTTACAAAAAGCAGCACAGAAACAAACCTTCATCTTATACCTTCTATACCTTCATCTTATCGCATAACCACACCCTTCTACTTACTCCCTCATACACTTATCTAATGTTTCCTGTAGTATTCACGTCAACTGCTCTTTGTGGTAGCAAGTTCCACATCCCACCCACTCCCCAGGTGAGTAAGTTTCTCCTGTGTTTATTGTTCAATTTACTGACGTTTAATTTACTAATTTTGATCTGTTTATGTCGGATTAAATTGCTTCAAACTAGGGCTTCAGGCAAATTCTGAGACACAGCTGCTGGCACTTTACCCCCAGGACCACCCCTCCCAAGCCGCATCAAGTGCGGTTTCGAAAGCAAAGAAGAAGAAAAAAGAAGACATAGCTGGTAAGCTGTTGCTAAATGCTGCAAGAATTTTGCTGCTTTTTTTTTTGGTGGGAATGTTCCAATCTCCAAGCTGAGGGCTGCGCATGTTGAGGGTGCCACATATCCACCTCAGGCTGCACCATCAGCAACAGAGTGAGGTCTCTGTCTACTCTCCCCAACTAGATGCCCGAGTTGGACTCCCAGCACACCAGTATGGATTGGTAGGAAAGTAGGTTCTATCCACATTTCACCTTTGTAATTATTTTCCAATTCCAAGTATTTGGGTAAGGTATGATTTGCCTTCCATTTCATTGGTTCTCCTGTTTAGTAGTTTGTAGATAGTCCCCAAGGGATACTGACTGTGGGAGTACCTCATGCCCCTGTGATCCACTCTCCCAACAAAGGCAGCTAAAGAAATGAATCAACCTATATAGTATTTGTTGCTGTAGCAGCTCACATGGGCCAATGCCTTTATTGTAACTGTTTTGTCTCTGTCTGCATCTCTCTTTTTCCTTTTTTTCTCTCTCTCTCCCCCCTGCCTTCCCCCATCCCCTTACCCTCTTTTTTCCTTTTTCTGTCTCCCGTTTCTCTCCCCTTCTCTCTTTCTAACTCTCCCTCTTTGACGCGCTCTCTCTTGCTTTCCTGCTCGTTCTCCCATGCTCTCTGTCACTCTCCTGCTGTCTCTTCCCCACTCTCTCATTCATTCTCTCTTTTAGTGAGTCAACCCATCGATGAGTCCCAAGTAACGCTGACATTTCAACATTGGCTTGCTAGCGTCACAGAGCGCATCAATCAAACTATGCATTACCAATTTGACGGTGAGTGATATGTTTTTGCAAAGTTGATAGCTTTACTAAAGAGGCAGTAATTATTTATTTGGAAGTAATTTTCTATAGACTAATCCCTTAATTGTTTGTGTAGATGCTGTCATTGGAATAATTTAGCATCTCTTTTCACATTTTTTTAATAACTTGAGTGAGTTTGCAACAGTGTAATTTCATGTAATTATGTCTGTTGAGGTAAACCAACTGATTGTGGTCTCCCACTGCTGTTGAGTGTTGACAATCAACTGTGTGATAAGACAGCAGAAACCGTTACTGCACAAGCACGTACACAAGAATTCAGAGCAGGAGTGGGCCATTTGGCCCCTCAAGCCTGCTCCGCAATTTGACACGATCATGATTAAGGCCTCAGCCCCAGCCCCAGTTTCCTGTCTACGTATCGACCCTGCCACCGTAACTCTGCTGAAGTCAGCCTGAAATATATTAAATAACCCCATCCTCCACTGCTCACTGAGCAAGAGAGACAGACAGATTTTTATGATGATGCAGTAACTTTACCATTTCTGCAGCGACTTGGTTTGAAAGCCTTGCACTTGTGTCTCACAGAAATATCATCCTTGAAATTACTGAGCCCAGTCCAAATATGAAAGAAGAGTATTTACCAAAAGGTGAATACTTTGGGGAATCTTATCTCGGGAAGGCACACCAGCATAACAAAGATAGCTTGCGTCTATGTAGCTCTTCTCATCTGGTGAAATGGAAGTCTTCACAAAAACAAATTTGTCACTTGCATGTTAGTGACTGCCATTCTGTTGCCATCACCATTCTGAACCATATCACCACAAAAGTGTGGAATGGAGTGTTTGATGCCAGTTCCAGGTCAGGTTGGATGTATTCCTGGAGATTTCGTTGTGTGACCTCTCGATGGCTTGTCCTGGTTAGGCTGCCTATATTTCTTCCTCCCCATCTCCTACACCCATCGAACTAGTAAATGAGAAAGGTTGAAAGAAAACACATTGTTTGATGGCCCTGGGATTTGTTTTTTTTTATGCTGAGATTGCTTACAGCAGTGTTGAAGAGATTAACCCTTAATTCTTGGATATTCCATTCTAACCCTGGAGATTGTCAGTGCCAGCCCCATCTGGTCCCACATTACCACTCTTCAAACCCAATGCTAATCAGGAGTCTTGGAGCCTTCATGTTTTTGCTGCCAGCCTTTTTTCTTGACAGCTTTGCATGTGATGTCCCTGTGGTTTAAAGTTAATCAAGTAATTATGCCCTAGCTGGTGTGTTTAATAATAACAGTATGTCGCCATTCTGTTTGCTGACCTGTATTTGCTTCGGGCACATGACCACTTTGGTAATAGATTTCTCATCCTGTTGTTCAAATTCTTCCATGCTGTCCTCCCCCTTCTAACTCCACAAACTTTTCCAACCTTACAATCCTCAAAGAAAGAGATAATAAGAACTGCTGATGCTGGAGTCAGAGATAACACAGCGTGGAGCTGGAGGAACACAGCAGGCCAGGCAACATCAGAGGAGTAGGAAAGTTGACATTTCGGGTCGGGACCTTCTTCAGAATTCAGATTTTCTGAAGAAGGGTCCCGAGCCGAAACGTCAACTTTCCTACTCATCTGTTGCTGCCTGGCCTGCTGTGTTCTTTCAGCTCCACACATATAATCCTTAAAGAAATCTGCATTTCTCCAATTTCGCCCTGATGTCAGGTTTCCTGTAATCTAGTCAGTTCCATTTTTCTACTCTGCCCTATAGCCCTGCAAGTTTATTTTCTTCAAATACATATCCAGTTCCCTTTTGAAATCATTCATCAAACACATGAACTGGGAACAGAAGTAGACCATCCGGCCCCTTGAGTCTGCTTTACCATTCAATAAGCTTATGGCCAACGGTTTGTGTTTTGAATTCCATATTGCCATCTACGCCCAACAACCTTTGATTCCCTACCCTAACAAGGATTTATCTAACTCTGTCTTCAAAATATTTAATGATCCTGTCTCCACCGACTTCTGAGGCAGAGTTTCAAAGTTGCCTAACCCTCTCTGGGAGAAATAAGTTACTCCTCAACCCTGTCGTAATAGGACAATCCCTAATCCCCTACTTTTTAAACAATGCCCCACCACACGCACGCACACACCCCTCACTATCTACCTACCTTCCGGGCTGACCCACACGAGGAAACATTCTTCTGACGTCCACCTTGTCAACACCATTCAGTATCGTATACGCTTCAGTGCCTCTATTTCCACCACCCTTGCGGGCAGCAAGTTCCATCCCCTTTTGCATTTCCTAACCTCTGGAGCCATCTACTGAGCCTTTAGTTCTTGGAGTTCCCTTCCTGAAATTCTCCGTCTGTTTCCTCCTATATGACACGTTTTAATATCTACTGCTTTGCGTCTTGGTGTCAAAATATGTTTTTGTCTGCTTCCATTCCTGTGTATTTTTATTCTAATCAACGCATTCAAAGATGTTAGTACACACCTCTGGAGCAAGTGGGCCTCACTGCTTCAGGACCAGCTTTTGCCATCATAAAGGTATTTTGTGTCTGCAAGTTGTTGTTAAAAGAATAACAGAAATGTCAGTCATTGCAGGCTCTGGTAAAATGCACATTGTTGTTCTTGCAGGGAAGCCTGAACCACTGGTGTTCCACGTTCCTCAGATTTTCTTTGATGCCCTGCAACAGAGGATTTCGATGGGAAGCAAAAAGAAACGCCTTCCCAACTCCACCACAGGTAACCCATCTTACTACCTGCTCAAGCATGGCATTGCAGCAACCCCGAGACAATTATGTCTAGGTGCAAGTGTGTGGCAGATGAGTATAAGGCATCTCTGATGTGAGGTTGTGATAATTTGCACAACCCACTCTTACTGCAACTGCTGTGAACCTGACTTCAGATTCAGCTCAGTGAGTTGGAATGAATGGGCTTTGTCCATTGTCATCCTCCCCAGGGAAATTGCACTCCGAATGGTCCTGAATCAGTTTCTCTTCTGGTGCAGAACAAAACTAGAGGCTGTATATATAAGATTGTCACCAAGGAAACAGGTAGAGAATTCAAGAAGAACTACTTCACACTATGATGGAGCTCAATACCACAGCGAGAGAGGTTGAGAGACAATAGTGTTAATTTATTTAATGAAAAGCCTTCAAGCGGAAAGAAGCAGAAGCATATGCTGATAGGACTAGTTTAAGAGAGATAGACGAGACTTTTGTGGAGTGTTATCCGTCGGGCAGACCAGTTGGACTAAATGGCCTTGTAACGTGCTGTGGATTCTACGTAATTCTTCACAGTGCAAAATTGCTCCAGCTTTATTTCTGAATTTGGGGAGTTACAGTCAGAGAAAAAATGATGTAGGGAGTTTAGTACGTTTCCATTTGATCCCAAAGAGTGTCGATGATGGAGTTGGAATGAAGTGAGCTTTGCTCTAAACCTGACAGTGATGCTGAAGGACCACTGTGAGAAGAACATTTTCTTTTAATTCTTTCTTTGGACATGGGCATCACTAACATGATCAGCATTTGTTGGCCATCCCTAATTGCCCTTTAACTGTGGCTTCCCATTTCAGAGAGCAGTTAAGATGTATCCACGTTATTATATGGACCCATGACACGATGGGGTACGAAACAAGGCACAGATCTAGGTTAATAATAATAATAAATTTAATAACCCCAATGATAGCAGGTATATTCACAGAAGGCAGCATTACAGATCTCTGTCTCCTACCTCCTAATCAACCCAGTACCCTAGCCGTCCCTTTCTATCAATACCCTCCCACTTGTGTATCCTTAACATTAACAATACAACTGACGTAACATTAACACGTATTTGCTTTTGGTATGGAGTCACATGTAGGCCAGACAGGAAAAATGGCAGATTTCTTTTCCCAAAGGATTTTAGTGAATCAGACAATGTTTTTTGCAACAATCAAAAATTCTATAGTTACCATTACTGAAACTAGATTCAAATCCCATAATTGATTAATAAATTGAATTTAAGACCCTGCTGGCGTGCAGTTTGAATCCATATTCTCAGTGAATTAGCCAAGGCCTTAGGATTACTCGACCTACAGCATTAGCATTATGCCAACATTTCCCCACAATTGCCCATCATGGTGCACTTAAAAAAACTCTCAAAATATTTTTTCAAAGAACTAAATAAAATCTTGATTATTCTTTGCCATTTGGTCCCGTCTCCCTCTGCCATACACCATCTTCAGCAAATGTAATGAGTTGTGTCTGGTTTCTATCATGGCTGCAGAAACACCAACCACTCTGCCGACGTCCAACAATACTTGTACGGGGCAGACCAAACCCCTCAAAACATATCAAGGAGATAGCCTAGACCCTAACTTTGATCTTATTTAAAGACAAGTGTAAGGTGCTGCATTCCAGATGTGATTTAATTGGTGAAACTACTAGGCTTTAAGCAAAACACACTTTATTCTTACACCATAGTTACAATACAAACATAAAAAGAACAGGCATAACTTTAACTCTATGAAAATACTTTTAAAAAATTGTTTAACATTTACACATTAGCTGTTCCAATATAGCAGCATCCCGTAAACACACCCTTGGCAAAGGCAAATTCAGCAAAACAGATTTCCCTCACTTGCTATCTCCTCCAGTCCAAGAAAATGAACACAGACAGAATGATCTAACAGCAGAGACAGAACTCGAGCTTTTTGCAGCAGCAGCGAGAGAGAGCTGCATCTAGCAGCTTCAACTTCAAAAAACTCCAACAAACTCCAACTTCAACAACTGAAAGTAAAACTAAAACCCTAGTTCTGTGTGAGCCTGACTGTGCCCACTCATGCTTCTTATGGCTAATTTTTAAAAAAAATCCACAGCTATTTACTCAGCTTTCCATGGAACAGACACCTGGGCACCAGGTTTATAATACCCCTCTTCAAGACAAAGAGGACAAAACAAATCTCTCTTAACCGGAGGTTTTGTCACAACTTGGATGAAGTTTATTCCATGTATTTTCTGCCTTCTCTGGCCCTTGAGGGAGCTTTTGGCTTCTTAATGACCATCTGTGAAAATACAAATGATAGCATCATGCCTTTTTCTTTCCATCTCCATCATTTCTTGAAAGAGCAACAATTAATAGGTGAGTTCAGCATCCAGTGGAGTGCCCAGGCAATTTAATAAATACTCTCTACAGATTAGTAAAGAAGTGTGAATATGGTGACTTCAAGTCAGATTTCACAAGAGTGTGAATTATTGTAGGAATTGCAGATGAGTCTTTGCCAGATTCATTACAGTCCAAAGAAGACCTGACTCTACAGAAAACTATGCAGACAATGAGTAAAGCATAAGTCCAGAAGCAACATAGATTAATCCTAAGTAGAATATCAACCTTGGCGCAAAGCAGAGTCCATTGAATTCTCAAACTACAGCAAACAACATAAAATGTGCAGAAATGAGAGGCGGTTTCAGAAAAGCAAGAAATCAAATAGCCCCCCACATAAAGAGATTACTGAGATAGAACAGCCTACAACAGAAGTAAAGCCTGAAGTGTTCCCAGATGAAGTAGATGATCCATACCTGGCATTTTGGCAAGCTGATACTTACGCCAGTGGTCACCTCACCAATTTCATATTGGATACTGAGGCAAGTGTCACTGTATTATCAGATAGTGTGGGAAAGAAAATACTGTCTACAGGCAACAACAATACAACTATTATGGTCCAAGAGAAATACAACTTAAAGTTAAATGTATGCTATCGGCAACTCTCCAGTATAGGGGAGACTTGGGAAGAATGGCAGGAAATCTATACATACTTGACAATCAAAAATTCTTGCTCGAGTAGGAAGGCATATCTCAATCTCAACTTTATTTGAAAGGTGGAAGAGGTTACACAGCAAAATCTAACAAGCTCCTTTGCCCCTCAAATTATTTAAAGGAAGCTGAATGTTGAATACTGAATACACAATATACTGAAACAAAGTTAATGCCTCACTTGGCAACTACTACAGACCCTTGAGACAGTTTCTCAAGAAGTCATAAGGATGGTGTTGGAACCCATATGAAGAGAAGTCTTTTCAGAGGATCAAGACATTTGATGTCCACAGATGTGTTAGCACACCATAATCCATCCTTTCCGACCACCAAAGCAGCCGATAGTTCACCTGGAGGCTCAGGAGCAGTGCTTTCTCTACTGGACAAGAAAGAAGGAGCAAGGATGGCTCCATGAATACAGGGTTTCAACTTTGTCTCATGATTCCGTCAATGAAACAGTGCATGTGCCGGGAAAACTGCAGACAATAACACCCTCCAGAGTCATGGTCAGTGCCCTTACCAAATGGAGTCCATTTATGAAATGGAATCATACACTCATACTGAAGTGAAGTAATGGTCAGCAAGTCACAATTGGCTTAATCAGATCCAACAGAAGCAGTTAAGGAACTGGGGATATCTCAACTTCTGTCAGGATTACATTGAAGGTTGGCCACTTGGTCAAAGGTCCAGTGGGTTGACCATGTAAACATTTTGTGAGCACTGATGATATTTCACAATTTCCAACAACCTGCAAACTAGCAGAGATCGTATACTGTTCAAACTGCTGAAGGAATTGTTTGAAATACTTGCAGGACCCTTATCCCGTTATGATTTAATTATCCACCTCTGACCTACTGGGACAAACCTAATAGGGAATTTAATAACGCAAGGTACCAACAGACCTCAGACTATCAGGAAAAGAATCAGAGTCAACGCTCATCAACCCAACAAATGACTGGTCTTCCAAGCAGTGTTCTCTCTAAGCTGCTCCAAAGTTCCATGCATGGCAATCGGCATCAGCATTGACTTTGGGTCTCAGATGTCACTGCTGCGCTTCAGACTTGGAGGCCAAAGCAGCCAGTAAGAAAATTAAAGGGAACATGGCTTCCAAGTCTGAACAGAATCGTTTCTGGGAAAATACTGAAATCTCAAGATCACCTGAATTTGTGAAGACAGACTTGGAAAGCATTTTTTTAAAATTTACTTATGAGACATGGACATCGCTGGCTGGCCAGCATTTCTTGCTTATCCTTTGTTGCCCTTGAGCTTATTGGCTTGCTAGGTCATTTCAGAGGGGAGATGAGAGTCAATGACATTGCTGTGGGTCTGGAGTCATATGTAGGCCAGAACATGTGAGGATGGCAGATTTCCTTTCCTGAAGGATGTTAGTGAGCCAGATGGGTTTTTCTGACAATCGGCGACAGATTAATGGTCATCAGTAAATGCTTAATTCCAGGTTTTTAAAAAAATTTGAATTCAAATTCCACCGTCTGCCATGGGATTTGAACCCAGGTCCCCAGAACATTAGTTGAGTTTCTGGATTAATAGTTTAGCATTAAGACCATTGGGTCCCCGATGGAGTTGCACTGAATTTTTAGATACAAGATGTATGGCATTAAAAATGAAAAAGAAGCTTCATACGGATCTGAAAAGTTTAATATTGTAGAGTGCACCACCCACTATGATGATATTAAGTGGATTTGTGGACAAAACAGCTTAAGATGTTGAAGGAGTGAGTCCGAACTTCTGGTCCTGCACAAAGTCTCTGTAACAACATGCATCATAGCAATATAACCTATAACTGGTTGCTCACATGCAATAAACTATATCTTGTTAAGAAGCAACTCCTCTATCTAGACCAGGAAGTAGTTTTCTTATAAAACCCATTGGATCAAGCAGGCGCTGAAGTTTCCTGCACTTAAAGAGGATGGCAGTAGCAACTTCCACTATGAGCAGTTCAGCCCATATGCCTGCTTTTACCTGATAAGTAGCAGAATAGTGAGCTCAGTTGGCAGGGAGGGCACTGATGGGTTGAGGAGGCAGTTGGCTGCAATTATCAGAAAATTCATCAGGATGTTATGGAAGTGGCCCATCGCACAACATGGTGGAAAGACAAGGAGGTAAGGCGGCATCAGGAGAGCAGCTGGAGTGATGTTCACATTGATGATTGTTCCTCTTTCCACCCTACTTCAAATCAGCAAATCCTGTCCTTTCTTTACCTCATTCCTCTTCAATGCACCAATGCTATTGGCCTTGACCACTCTGTGGGCACAGCTTCCACATTCTTATCACTGTCTGGCTAAAGATGTTTCTTCTGAACTCTCCATTGAAAAGGCCACCTCCTGGAGAGCAAGCGGAGGCCTTTCACTGGCCAGGTTTTGGCGACAGCTTACTGCTTTTAAATTTGCTGCTCCCACATTAGGGAGAAGTGAGCTTATCTAGCAGAAAATAACCCTCTGTTCCTCCTGTTGTCCTTTTTTGATACTAAAGCATGTGCGTTGTCTTTTGTAGGATTCGTTCGGAAGGATGCAGTGCCTCTGGGAACATTCTCCAAATACACTTGGCAGATCACAAACATTCTTCAAGTCAAGCAGATATTTGATACCCCAGAGGTAGGTGGGAAGGGGGAGGTGAAGGTGTCTGCAATAAGGCTGCATTAGTCCATGATGAGCAAAAGAGCTGACAGTCTATAAAAGAAAATGCCAGCCACTGCATTTCAGCAGACTTGGTCTTCCCATGAAGTTCGGGAAGATGATTGGCATGGCTCAGTGACTGATCAGTAGGATCAGACAGCACAGAGGGCGCCCATTTGGCCCATCATGTTTGTGCTGACTCTTTTTGAGCAAAGTTCTTTGCCTATGGCTCTGCAGATTGCATTTGTCAAATATGTATCCTGTTTGTCAAAATTGCACTTGCATCCACCACTCAGCAAATGTGATCCAGCTTATAACAACTTGCTGCATAAAGAAAATTCTCCTATTTTCTCTTCTGGTTCTTTTGTTAATTATATCAAATTTGTGGCAAATCTATGGCTATTGATCTCCCTGTGTCCTGTTTTGTGGAAAACTGCTCAGATTCTGAGGCCATTGCCTTATTTCATGAATGAGAGAGTCTTTTCATAGAATAGTTACAGCACAGAAGGCCATTCAGCCCCATCGGGATCCTAATCCCAGGCTTGGTTTTTGGGAAAAAAAATATTGTTTTTCCTCATGTTGCCTTTTGCTAAACACTTTTTAAATTAGTGCCTTCAGTTCCTCAGCCCTTCTGCCTTGAGCTCTCATGATTGCGAACACCTTTGTTAGATCTCCTCTCAAATAACTCTGCTCCAAGGAGAACAACTCCCAGCTTCTGCAGTCCTACTCAAGCAGTTCCTCATCCCTGGAATGATGGTCATGAATTTTTTTTGTAGCCTCTGAAACTTCCGCACCCTCCAGAGTGCGATAGAAACTGGTTTCTGGGAATTCTAACAACTCTTACAGCCTTGTAAAGATGTAATCCAGCACCCTTTATTTCTGCCTTTCAGATGCCCCTGGAGGTCACACGCAGTTTTGTTGAAAACCGTGATGGCACCTACGAGTTGTTTAAGTGTCCAAAGGTGCAGGTAGAGAGCATTGCAGACGCTTACAGCCGAGTGGAGAAACAGCCAAGCATTCGACCACTGGAACTCAAGACTTTCCTGAGAGTCGGTGAGAAATTTGGTTTTAAGGGTAATGCTGCTTGGGAGATTATTTTTAGAATCAGGTATCCAGAAGATATTACCCCAACATTAGTCTGTTAAAAGTTTAACTTTGCTAACAAGTCTATCATGTGGTACTCCGTTAAAGCACGTTTTGAGACTCCAGGCATGCAACACTCATCCACACTCTGTTCGACAAGATCAAGCCCATCAAACATGGTTTCTCTTCAACTAATCCAGGTCAGCCTGTGTTTACAAGCACATGTGTTTCCAAGTGTCATTCAATTTTATACATGATCACTTTCTCTAGAAACTTCCCCACCATCAGTGGTTAGGCTGGTTGCCCTGTAGTTTATCTCTTGCTCCATGCAGAATATTCAAATTCTGGCAGCACCTCCAAATCTGAGGAGTGTTGGAAGATTGTGTTCAAAGCCTCAGCTGTTCCACCCTTGCTTTCCCTCAGTTGACCTAAGAAATATCCTACCCAGACCAGGCAACATCTCTGTTTTGAGCAACACCAACCTTTCCAGTACATTCTCCTTTTGTTTTGCTGCAACATCTTCTTTACTGTGATAGGCACCATCCTCTCCTCCAGTGAGGACAGATACATAGTACACATTTCGTACCTCTACTCTGACTTGCAGCAGTAGAGGACAATCTTCATTGTCATACTTGAGCAACCCTGTCCTTGTTTTGGTTATCCTTTTACTATTTATATGCTTCTAAAAATTGTTGGATACCCTTTTAGGTTACCTGCAAATCTACTTTCAAACTCACTCTTTGCCTCTCCAATTCCTACACTCACTAATCTGACCTGCCCTCTCCCTTATTCTAATATCTTCCAGATCTATAACGAGGGTTGTCTGAGATGTCTGTGTTCCTCTTGTTACTCTTCCTGAAGCTGGTTCATTAAATATATTCAAAGCTGAGATAGATTTTTAATCAGTAAGGGAATCCAGGGAATTCAAGGAATATAGGGAAAAGGCAAGAAAGTGGAGTTGAAGATTATCAGATCAGCCATGATCTCATTGAATGGCAGAGCAGACTCAATGGGCTGAATGGCCTACTTCTGCTTTCGTAACTTACGGTCTTGTAACTTCCAGTTTTAATTCTTCCACCATTGATGGCAGGGCCCTAAGCTCCACAATACTCTCCATCCACCTCTCCCCTTCTCTCACTCCTCTCCTTTAATTGACCTCTTTGACCAAGTCATGTGCCCATATAGCTCCTCATGTGGCCAGGTGTCATGTTTTCTTCATTGAAGTGCCTTGAGACATTTATTTTATTGTGAATGTTAGATAAAGATAAGTGTTGTTGCACCTCTGAAAACATTTAAAATGCCCTGGGAATAATATGTGCAGCATAAATTCCTTATGCCTATGATCTCAAAATTCAGCCCATTTTGGTTAAGTAACTGTTTGGGGATGTTGAGTAGTTGTAACATAAGAGTTTTCGTTTATGCCCAGCATAAAGTTGACTTTGGAATTTTCCTTTGCATCCAGGCAACATGTCGCCTGAGCAGAAGGAACCCACTCCGTTTATTATTGAATGGATCCCAGATATTCTGCCCAAATTGAAGATCGGGGAAATGAGAATTAAGCTGGAGTACGGTCATCACCGGAACGGACACGTCGAGTATAGAGAACAGCAGCCATCTCCGGAACAAAGCCTTGAGCTTAGCCCTTCCCTTGCCACCATTAATATTCATTGAAATCCAGGGAGTCATTCGGCTATCGCTGTCACCTCTTTTTTGGAGGTAGGTAAAAGAAAGAAAATCCCAAACACCAGTCTAATGGAACTCGAAAGGAACTCTGGAATCAAGCCTGAAGCTTGATGAAGATCTGCAGCGAAACCATGTGGGTTTGAAGGCTTGGTCGACTCTGACCATTGGAGGACAGGCAATTCATGGGTTGCATTTAATAGCAGTTAATACGTTTGACCCTTCTACTTGCAATCCAAAGCACTTATTCACTTAGACATTGAAACTGCATCACAGTATTTTAAAGCTCCTTCCTGCTAGCACCAGCTACATTTTGATTTCCTTTCTCTTCTGTATAGGAAGTTGCTGACGTATCATGCAAATACTAAACAATGCTCACCTACGAGAAGTCATTTTGAACTGGGTATCCAGCTTATATCTGATTTGATTCCTTTCTGTCGTCAGGGATAATGGCTCAAGTTTGTGTCACAGTATGTCTCACAAAACAAAAATGAGAGATGTGTTGTGATATCTGCAGAAACACTACATTTGTATTCTCCAGTTGCACGCCAGACCATTCCTGAGGGACCTGTTAACTCTGGAGAGACTCGTGCCAGACTCTGTCAGTACTGGCATTTGCCTGACAGCCTCCAAGGTGGCATCTTAGAATTTGTCATTGACAGCAGTTAAGGGCCTATCCAACGTGCAAAAGCTGTTGAGAACAGTCAAAGAGAATTTTTATCTTTGCAGTACATGTAGCAGTGACTGCAAAAAAAAGTTCTTAAAATAAGTTTGACTGTTTTTTCATGATTCCATATTGTGTGCTTGCATATCAGAACTGAATAACAAGCTGTACTTGCATTGTAGCACCTCATCATACCCCAAAATGCTTCACAACTCATTATTTTTCAAGTGCAGGAGACCAAATTCCACCAATAGCACCCCTAAATTACCCTGTTTTTTTTATTTCATTGGTGGTGTTGCTTAAGGTGAAACATGGTACTGGGTTCACCTCTTGCTGCTCTTTGAATAGTGGAATCTATCACACCCATCTGAATATGCATCTGGAGTCTCTTTTATAGCTGAAGACAGCAGCTCTGAGTGTGCAGTACTTCTCCGGTACTGCATTGAAGTGTCTGCCTAGGTTGTTTGCTAAGGTCCTATAATGGACTTGAACTTCCAACCTTCTAACACAGAGCTAAGAAGAGAACAATACTTTGTTTCTTATTGAATATTTCCCTCTCTGGATTGTCCTTGGCATCTATAGATCTGTAATTTGCATTCTTATAGCACTTCTCAGGATGTCCTTAAGCCATGTATAGACAATGATGTGTTTTTGAAGTTAGTTGCTTTTTTATGATAGGGCAACACAGCAACCAGTTTACCATCATACTGTCCAGAAACAGCAGTGAGAACTGAAGAACAGTGACAGCAGACTTGAAACATTAACCCTTTTTTTTACTCTCCACAGGTGCTGCCAGACCTGCTGAGTTTCTCCTGCATTTTCTGTTATTATTCCTCTAGAATAAATCCTCAGTTCTCATCCTGGTGAATGATTCTGTCTGTGTGCATCCTCCATACTGTTTGAGTATCAATGCTGTTGGGCCAAATTGGCACTTCAGAAGTGCCAGTCATTGACCACTGAGAAAGAGAGAGGAACTGCCATCTCCCTATGTTCTTCACTGCTATCATTATTCTGGAGGCCTGTACCAGCAAGAACCAGACCCTGACATCATGAGTCACGGTAGAGAGGGTGACCAACAAAGTGACCGTGATGCATTTCTGCAGTTCATCATACACCCTGCAGCCACAGAGCATTGCTGGATATTGAATCTGGTGGCAGGGGTACTAATCAAGTGATCAGTTCTGACTTGTATGCATGTTGAGTAGTCAGAGATCTTTGCACTGCATCTATCCAAGTTCACCCGAATTCGTTTCAAACTGCACACATTTATGCTGTTATTGCTGCATTTGATATATTACAAATTTAATTTACCATTAAAAAAACACAAAATAATGAGACTTTACAGAGGCTGTTAAACATTTATTTGCCTACAGGATATGGGCATCGCTGGTTGTACACATCTGTTGTACACCCCTACTTGCCTGGACATAGTCTGGCTGGAGTCACATAGGTGAGACCTGGTAAGGATGGCAGATTACTAAAGGGCATTAATGAACCAGATGGGTTTTGAATGACAGTTGACAGTAGCTGTCCACTGTTGGACCAGGCTTTTAATTCCAGATTTTTTAAAAAATTCAATTACATTCCACCACCTGCCAGGGTGGTGTTCGAACCCATGTCCTCAGAACATTAGCCTGAGGTGCTGGATTGTTAAGTCTCTTGACATTACCACTGCCTCCCCACTTGGTGGGTTCTGTTCCTCTCCCTGCTAACTGTCTCGTGTCAGAATCAGACTATTCTGCAACTTGGAAGTTGTACTCGGCTTCCAATCACCTATCCCTTCCATTTCAAAGATCATTTCTGTAACCTCGTCCAACTCCATTGCTGCCTCAGTCACCTGCTGTGGAAACTTTCGACCCGTGCCTTTGTTACTTCTAGACCTGACTATTCCTGTACTCTCCTGGCTAGCTTCTCGCTCTGCGTCCTTTGTAATCCCTGGCTCATTCGAAATTCTGCTGTCTTTATCCTACAGCTCACCAAGTTACTCATTCAAAAGCAAAATACTGTGCATGCTGGAGGTGTGGCCAGGGGAGAGGAGGAGGAATGGAAAGACTGCTGAAAATAGTCTGAAAGATCTGGCGGTGCCTACAGGGAGAAGCACTGTTGGTAACAGACCTAGGACGTCCACCCCGTTTCTCTCTCCATAGATGTTGCCGGATGTGTTTCCGGTTTTAATTTTGCACCGAGTGCTACTGTCTCTCTCCACCTTCAAGATGTTCCTTAAATCCTGCTTCTCTGACCGAGGTTTTGGCTAACCCGTCTTGAGTCTCTGAATTTGGCGCGGTGTCGAATGACGTTTGATGTTCCTGCGAAGCAACGCAGGGTGTCTTACTAAATTAAAGGCACTATATAAATGCAATTGTTGGTGTCTGAGTTTTGTTCTGTCGTTGCGGCTGACCACGATTAAAATACGGAGTTGGTTAGGAGACAAAATGAAACTGATGAGCTTTCTCATTCGTCATAGGAGAGCCGTGCTATAAATGGTTCTTTCACAATGCTATTGAGTCAGGAATCCCAGGGCTTCGTGCCAGTGATGATCTTTCCCTGTGTGCTGGTGTGAATCATTCCTAGGTCCGAGTCAGAAGCCTCAGGTGTTGCTCCAGCACCTGAGTGCAAACATCTAGGCTCTTGCACCCGTCCAGTACCGAGGGGCTGCTGCACTAACAAGTGGCCGTCTTTTAGATATAATGCTGGGCTGAGGACCACTCGCGTGCATTGTTAAAGATGCAGTGACTCAGATGCAGGGGGTAGGCAGCCGCTCTCTGTCCCTCAGACCACGTTGCAAAACAAACAAAATGAATCGGGTAGTTACCACATTGCTGTTTGTGGGACCTTGCCGTGACCTCACGTTCCCTCCCTTACAGTATTTCCAAAAGTACTGCACTGGCGCTACAGGGCTGGCCAGGAAGGTGCTTGTTGTATTAAGCGTCCCGCGGATATTGCAGCTCTGGAGCCTCCAGGACTCGCTTAGGGAGTGGGGTACCAGCAGCGACCGGGGGGTTCGAGCGGCTGAAAGTTGAATGGAAGATTTTAACCACGGCGTAGAGGCGAGCGATGGACCTCCTTCACCGCTCGCTGCAAACTAATGTTGTTGCAATTTGAAATAAACGGCGGTATGCATTTGGTTTCAGTGATTACGGAGTTGGAGGATTTAAAAAGGAATCCCCCTTGGGCTTGGGGCGGGTGGTGGAGTGTGGGTAATGAATCTCACGTTCCCGATTGGTTCCTGGATGGCGATTGATACACCCACCGGGCTACCTGATTGGCTGCCAAGCTGTTTTGTATCTTTCCGTCTAGTTAGTTACAGCAGCACTGTGTGTCATTTCTCCCGGAGAGGAGGTGAGTTGGGGCTATGGCGTTTGGACTGACACATGCCCAAGATCTCAAGCTTGCTGCTGCTCCTCCGGCGTTAGTGGTTCGGCTTTGGGGGACTTGGCAATTGCTGACTCACCGGGGGCTTGCTTTGGCGGCGTTTGCGTTCAGTTTTGCTTCCCTCCAGGCCGGATCCGACCGTCTTCCACCGTGTACGACCCTCTCAGGATTTCAGCCACAGTCCCCCTGGAGCTTTTCTTTGTTTTTGGTCGGGCTTGACGTCCCCACTGGTTTGCTGACAAATGATTTATTCTTTTACGTGGGATATGGCCTGACATATTTATAACCTTTTCCAATTGCCCCTTGATCTGAGCTTGGCTTGTTGGGCCATTTCAGAGGGTGGTTAAGAGTCAACGATATTTACTGAGAGTCTGGAGTCACATGTAGACCAGACTGGGTAAGGATGCCGGATTTCCTTCCCTAATGGACATTGGTAAACCAGATAGATTATTAAGAATAATTGATGTTTTATTTATTCGTTCATGGGCTGTGGGCACCACTGGCTAGGCCAACATTTATTATCCTTCCTGAATTGACTAGAGGGCAGTTAAGAGTCAACCAAATTGCTGTTGCTCTGGACTCATGAGTAGGCCAGATTGGATAAGGACAGCAGATTCCCCTCCCTCATTCATTGCTGATTACATAGTCATCATGAGGCTAACTTTTCATTGAATTTAAATTTCAACAAAAAGATCCATCTTCAGACCATTAGCCTGGGCATCTGGATTACTTGGCCATTGCCACTATGCAACCACCTGCCCTAAATGTTTTGATTTATTATTGTCACATACCAAGATACACTGAAAGGTATTGTTTTGTGTGCTAACTAGACAAATCATACCTTACGTAAGTACATCAAGGTAATGGAACAGAATGCAGAACAGAGTGTTGCAGCGACAGAGGTGCAGAGAAAGATTGATTCGAATATATGAGAGGTCCGTTCACAAGTCTGATAACAGCAGTTCTTCAGGTTGTCGTGACAAAGATTACTTTTTGATGAGGTTTTTATGGATTTGTATTCCACTCTGTCACATTTTAATTACTATCAAAATTCTTGAGCATTTGGACCAAGCACAATATGGTGCTTTGGCCACGTCAACGTTCCTGAAAGAAAATTGGAGAATGTTGGGAATGGTCAATATCTGTGGACATAGAAGAAGAGTCAATGTTTCATGTCACTGGTCACACATCGGAACTGGAATTATGGGCTGAATGGCCTCTTCCTGCACTGGGAGATGCCAAAGTTTATGTATGTGGTGATGCGGAGGGTGGGAGTAATTAAATGGCAAAAGGAATATATTCTTAAACTTATTTATATCGTGTTTTTCATAATTGCCAAACAGCTCAAAGGTCTGTTACCCCCAAGAAGGTACTTTGTGCCACTTCAGTGTTGTCATGTGAGGGAAGGTGGCAGCTGGTTTGCACCCAACAGCTCCCATAAATGGTAGACCAGATCATTTTTTTTGTTGTGATATGGGTTGAGGGTTAAAGATTGGTCCAGATGCTGGGAAGACCCCCCCCATCCCTCTGCCAGTGGTATTTTATACGTCCACCCAAGCTGACAAATACTCCCTGTGGCCACGGGTGCCATATTCTCTCTGCTCTCTAGGTAAAGATGTAGGGGCGTGTTGGAGAAGGGTTTGGGATTGGAGGGGGTTGATGGTGAGAGATAGGGAGCCTGGGTTGTGATGTCGAGCTCTCAGCCAACCATTTGCTTCCATTCAGGAGCTGTCAAGACAACCACCTAAATCAGTTCAGACTGACAACGGAACCTATAAACTTCTAACAGTCAAGGATAAAAATGTTCATCATTCCGGAGTGCTAATGTGTTCTTACGTGATCCCTGTTTTCCTGGGCATGGTGAGACCCAGTGCCAAAGAAGTGGCACCTTAGGAGTGACAACTCCTACATTGGTGTGTCTGGCGCAGCTAGAGGACTCTCAGTTACAGGCGGCTGTGATACTGAACTTTTTATTTCTTTATTTTTCTATTTTTTTTCCTAAGAATTTGTGCCTGGGTACCTTTTGTATCTGGGATGATGGGGCAAGTGATGACTTGTAAGCTTTTCACTGTACTTGTTTGAGTACATGATGATAAAGCTAATTCAGTTCATTTATTAATTCCAGTTATTTACAGAATCACAGGAGTGTTGTGACGAGTCCAAAAGAGCATTATTAACTAATGCCAATCCCCTGGTTTTTTTTTAAACCCCCATTGCACATTATTTTTATCCAAATAAACAATGCTCTCTCAAATGCTTCAGTTGAACCTGCCTCCACCACGCTTCTAGGCAGTGCATTCCATGCACTCTAATTGCTTACTGTGTCGATACATTTGCTTTTTCACATTACCCTTGTTTCTTTTGCACATCACTTTTGTCTCTGCGCCCTCTCAGTTCTTGTTAATTTTACAAGCGGGAACAGCTGCCTATCTGCCCTATCCAGCCTGCTCATGATTTTGAAAACCTCGATCAGCTCTCCTCTCAGTCTTCTCTCCAAGGCGTAACCGACAGTGGAGTTTTATCCAAACTCATGTGCGCTGTTGTAATGCGTATCGCAGAACACAAACTTGGGCCCAAAGAGATTGATAAATTTCCAAATTCCACTTAATTGTATCTCTGCTCTCTTCTACAGCTGGGTCTACGGTATAACCGCTATTGGCAACACTGCCAGGGATCATGGCAGCTGATGACCATGGTTTGGATTGTAGGTGCTGTTCTCATGGCTCTTCAGTGCCGAGCAGTGTACACCAAACATTGGAGGAGATGGAGTTTGACAGAGGTAGACAGTGCTATTTGAATTTTTAATGGCAGTGGCCCAACGAATCAACCTCTTAATGTTTTTTACGCTGTTTTCATTAGAGTTTATTGGACGGTGCATTGAGTATAGGAGTTGGGATGTCATGTTGTGGCTGTACAGAACATTGGTTAGGCCACTTTTGGAATACTTCATTCATTTCTGGTCTCCCTGCTATAGGAAAGATGTCGTGAAACTTCAAAGGGTTCAGAAAAGATTTACAAGGAATGTTGCCGGGGTTGGAGAGTTTGAGCTGGAGGGAGAGGCTGAGTAGGCTGGGACTATTTGCATCGGAGGCTGAGGGGTGACCTTATAGAGGTTCATAAAATCATGAGGGGAATGGATGGGGTGAATAGGTAAAGTCTTATAGCCAGGGTAGGGGAGTCCAAAACTAGAGGGCATAGGTTTAAGGTGAGAGGGGAAAGATTTAAAAGGGACCTCTTTTTCACACAGAGGGTGGTTCGTGTATGGAACGAGCTGCCAGAGGAAGTGATGGAGGCTGGTACAGTTACAACATTTAAAAGGCATCTGGATGGGTACATGAGGAGGAAGGGTTTAGCGGGATGGGGCCAAATGCTGGCAAATGGGACTAGATTAATTATGGGCTATCTGGTCAGCCAAGGCAACTTGTACCGAAGGGCCCATTTTCATGCTGGATGACTATGACTCTGTGACTTGTAAATATTGATGTTAAGAGAGACTCGGGTGTTCTTGTTCAAGTTATAGCAAAAACGATGGCATGCAGCTACAAAAAGCAATTAGAAAAGCAAATGGGATATTGGCATTTATACAATAATACAATACAATACAGTTCAATACAGCACAGGAACAGGCCCTTCAGCCCAACAAGCCTGCACTGACTCCTAGCCCTTATTTAGAGCCGCTACTTAGTGCCCATGCTCAGTTTCTGTCCCCTCTTTTGCCTCCCATTCATATGTCAATAAGATGCACCTTAACTGTTGCTAATGTGCCTGCGTCCATCACTTCCACTGGCAGTGCGTTCCAAGCACCAACACCCTCTGGGTTAAAAATTTTACTCACACTTCTCCCCTAAACTTTCCTCTCACCTTGAACCTGCGCCCTCTTGTATTTGACTTTTCCATCCTGGGAAAAAGCCCCTTGACTATCCACCCTATCTACGCTGCTCGTAATTTTGTAGATCTCCATTAGGTCGCCCCTCAGCCTCTGTCTCAGTGAAAACAAACCTGAGTTTATCTAACCTCTCCTCATAACTAAAACCCTCCAGACCAGACAACATCCTGGTAAACCTTCTCTGCACCCTCTCCAAAGCATCCACGTCCTTCTGGTAATGTGGTAACCAGAACTGCATGCAATATTCGAAATGCGGCCTAACTAAAGCTTTGTAGAGCTGAAACTTTTTACAATTTATTGTGAAGATATTGGAGTACAAGCATAACAAATTTCTTGCTACAATATGATAGGGCTTTCGTGAGACTATACCTGGAGTATGGTACATAGTTTTGGTTTCTGTCTCTGAGGATGTATTTGCCCTGGAGGTTCACGAGATTGGTTGCTACGGTGGCCTCTGAGAAAGTGGGCCAATATTCTCTGGAGTTTAGATGACTGAGAGGTAAAATGTAAAAGATTGTGAAGAGGCTTGACAGAGTGAGATCCCCGGTTGGGGATTTACGACATGGAGAATCAGGAGAAGGCGCAAACTGATTAAGACTGAGGTGAAGAGGGATTTCTACCATAGAGGTGGTGAATCTTTGGTCTTTTCCAGAGGATTTTGGATGCTCCATTATTGAATATATTTAAGGTAGGATCATTGCATCTTTGAGAAACAAGACCAGAAATGGCTGGAGAAACTCAGCAGGTCTAGCAGCATCTGTGAAGAGAAAATAAAAGTTACGGTTTCAAGTTCAGTGACCCTTCTTGTTTTTGCTTGTCTCGGATTCTGGCATTTGCAATTGTTTGTTTTCTGTAGAGGAATATCTTTGGTTCTCTCGGAGAATCGGGGGATGTGTGGAGAGACAGGAAGGTGGAGTGGAGGCCCAACATCACCCACGATTGTGTTGAATGATGCAGCAGACTCGAAGGGCCAAATGGTCTACAGTTGCTCCTATTTCTGGTGTTCTTTTGACAGCTTGCTTTTTAACACGGTTCACGCAGAAACAGAAATTGCTGGAGAAACTCAGCAGGTCTGGCAGCATCCCTGGAGAGGAAACAGAGTGAATTCTTTGAGTCCAGTGACCCTCCTTCAGAACTAAAGGAGCCATTCTGAAGAAAGGTGACTTAACAGTTTTAACTCTGCTTTCTCTTGACAGATACCTGCCCATTCACTGCCCATTCCCATATTACCCGTGAACTCAGTGGCCGCTGGGCCATTTCCACGGTCAGTTAAGAATCAACCACATTGCGGTGACTCTGGGTTCACGTGTCGTCCATTCCGTGTAAAGGACGGCAGATTTCCTTCCCTAAAGGACATTGGTAGAACCAAGTGGGTTTTTAACAACGATCAGTGATTATTTCATGCTCCCCATGACTATCAAAATCCATATTTTATTCAGTGTATTTAAATTCCACTAGCTGCCAGGGTGTGACTTGAAACTGTGTTCCCATAGTATTCCTCTGGGCAGTCTGATTTTACTGGTCCTGTGACATGACCAGTATACCACTGCCTCTCAAATGTCTAACATAGAGGGCTGTGTAGGTCAGGTGTGCACCCCTGAAAGCAGCCACAGTAGTAACTTGCAAACAATAATTCATCAAGTCCTTGGAAGTGCGTTGGAGATGGAAGTCGTGTCAGTTAAATAATCGGCACGGCGTCTGACTGCATTTCTCTCCTTTTCCCCGTGGTTTAGGCATCTGGTCAGCAGCCTGTAGCGGCGACTTCAACACAGTGCGGATGTTTCTGGAGAAGGGAACGGATCCCAATTTGCCTGACCTGTCAGGCTACACTGCATTGGTGAGTGACGCCTCAGCTCTTTCGGCCATCTCCGAAGGCAGAGAGTCACGGGTTCCAGCTCCAGCAAATCAAATTTAGGGGTTTAGGTTGGCGAACCCGAGAGGGAACCTTGGACAGGCACTGGGGGAGAGAAAATGATTCGGGTCACGGGAGGTACGCTGATGCGTGGTCACTCTGAGGTCGGGGCTTATGCCAGATGGATCAATGTCACATCTCTCTAAGTTCGGATGAGGTTAAAAGAGTCACATGGGAAAAGGCTGTTTGGCCCATCATGTCCACATCTAGGCCAAGCAGCATCATAGGAGCAGGAAGGTTATTTCAGAAGTTATTTCAGAACCCCCTTCCCCTCCCCCATTTCTGATGAAGGGTCTAGGCCCGAAACGTAGCTTTCCTGCTCCTATGATGCTGCTTGGCCTGCTGTGTTCATCAGCTCTACACCTTGTTATCTCAGATTTTCCAGCATCTGCAGTTCCTACTATCTCATGTCCATATCTATCCATTCTGATCCCATTTCCCAGCACTTGCCCTGTGACCTTGTATCCTCTGGTGTTTGAAGTGGTCATCTAAATACTTCTTCAATGTCTTCAGGGTTCCCACCCTCTTTCACCTTTTCAGGCAGTGAGTCCCAGATACCCACTAAATCCCTTCGTGCTCTTTACCCCAAAACTGTGCCCCCACCCCTGCCCTCCTCAGTTTATTGACCCCTCTACTAAGGGGGAATATCTGTGCCTCTCATAACTTTGTATAGCTCAGTCAGGTTGCCCCTCGCCCTTCTCTGCTTGAAGGCAAACAACCCGGCCTCTCTAGTCTGTCACCGTAGCTTCAGCCCAGGCAACATCCTGGTGAATCTCCTCTGCGCTTTCAGCAGTGCAATCACGTCCTTCCTGCAGTAGGGTGACCAGAACTGCATCCAGTCCTCCAGCTGTAGCCTCACTCATGTCTTGTACAGCTCCATTATAACCTCCCGGCTCTCGTATTCAATGCCTTGACCAATAAAGGCAGGTATCCCATCTGTGGCTTCTTCCCCGTGTCCTGTCACTCGCTGGAACCCCAGCAGCTTCACAGCGTCACCGTTTATTCTGCAGGTGGGATAGTTCATCCAGCTCTACACCTTGTTATCTCGGATTCTCCAGCATCGACAGTTCCTACTATCACTGTTTAGGATCATTTTGTTTCCAACGCTTCCTGGTTTGATGAAAAGTGCCCTGAGGCCCATGCCGATATTTTTGAAGCAGCCACAAGGAGGGATGCAAGAGCAGTCTGTTAGCACTCAGTCCTTGTTCTCGTACACAAACTTTGCTGAGTGTTGGGCTCCTTGAGAAGACTTTTTTTTGGAAAAGAAAGCACAAGGGCTCATTAATTTCTTATAGAGGCATCGACTACAAAAGCAAGGAAGGTACCATATGGTACATTTACAGTTAGGTCCTACCTAGAGGATAATGTTCAGTTCTGGGCATTTTTCATTCATTCATGGGATGTGGATATCGCTGGCAAGACCAACATTTTCTGCCCGCTCCTACTTGCCCTTGAGCTAACTGCGCAATTTCATTCTCATCCATGGTGAGTTTTTAATTAAAATTTAGTCTAAATTTCATCAGCTGCTGCCATGGAATGCTGTTTACTGAATGGAAGTGTTTCTGTTGTTAGTTTAAAGTTAACTTCAATAGAATCCCTACAACGTGGAAGCAGGCCATTTGGCCCATCGGCCCATCGAGTCCACACCGACCCTCCAAACAGCATCCCACCCAGACTTACCTCCCCACTCTATCCCTGCATTTCCCACGGCTAATCCAACTAGCCTGCACATCCCTGGACACTACGGGGCAATTTAGCACGGCCAATCCATCCATCTTTGGACTGTGCGAGGAAATCAGAGTACCCAGTGGAAACCCACGCAGACACACTGAGAACGTGCAAACTCCACACAGACAGTCACCCGAGGCTGGAATCGAACCCGAGTCCCTGGCACTGAGAGGCAGCAGTGCTAACTAACCAAAACTTTAAAAAGAAATTCAGAATACAAAGGACAACCTGATGAAGGGTTAAAATTTAAGGCAATTTGAAATGTAACACTTCCATTAGATGCCACGTAACTGATGACCCATTAGTCCACTTATCTGGGCATACGTTAACATGAATACAATAGACACAAAATGAATTCTTTTGTCTTACTCTAGCCTTAATTTGAATTTCATTTACATGTGTGACAAACTTAACAGACACCAAACGGGGTGGAAACCATTGTTTTCAATGTCCCCAGAGCATTAGCCTTTTCATGTGGGATTTGAGGATGTGAGTGACAAGGAGAGGCTGGATAGGCTGGGACTTCTTTTCCGCTGGAGGTGAACTTATAAAGGTTCACAAAATCATGCAGAGTATAGATAAGGTGAATAGCAGGTGTTTTTCTTCCCTCAGGTGGGGGAGTTCAAGACTAGGGGGCTTATTTTTAGGGCAAGAGGAGGAAGATTTAAAATAGACATGAGGGCTAATTTTTTTTAACACAGAGAGTAAGTTCATGTTTGGAATGAGCTTCCAGAGGAAGTGATGGATGTGGGTACAGTTACAACATTTAAAAGACTTTTGGATAAGTTTATGAATAAGAAAAGTTTGGAGGGAAATGGGCCAGGCGCAGGCAGGTGGGGCTATGTTTAGTTTGGGATTATGGTCGGCATGGACTGGCTGGATCCAAGGGTCTGTTTCCATGCTGTATGACTCTGTGACTATGATTCTATGCGAATTAATATTCAAATGACATTACCACTGCGCCATGGTCTTCAACAGAGAGGGTGCAAGATGAGCTGTCTGAAGGGCCAGAGGAAGCTGGTTCCACTTTCAAAAGACAAATTCAGAGCTTTAGGGAAAGAGTACAGCTGTCACAGGCACAATGAGCCAAAGGACCTTCTGTGTGGGAATGGTCGGTGAAGAACGTGACAGAGGGGCTCAGTATTAGTCTGAGGATTAGAATTGATTCTTCACCGAACAGTTCCCGACCAGCTTATTGTCTTCTCCACAGCACTATGCCAGTCGTCGTGGTGATTACGAGATCTGCGAGTACTTACTGAGGAAGGGAGCAAACAGCAACGCTCAGACCAAAGGAGGGGCGACCCCGCTCCACAGAGCAGCCTACTGTGGCCACCTCTCCGTCCTCCAGTTGTTACTGTCCTACGGAGCTATCCCTGCAATCACAGATGATGATGGTGCGACACCTTTACACAAGGTAGTGTGACGCTTTCAGCACATTTAATTGTTTTCCTATCCCTGCAAGATTTTTGCGGAACCCCTGACACTTACATCCAGGCGACAGGGAGAAATCTTCCAAACACGTTTTATTTTATTCCCTTTGCTGGCTCATTTCACTTGATGATCACCTGGTTGCGCATCCCCCCGACAGTTTTCTCATCTCAACAACAACCTGCATTTACATAGTGCTGTTGATGTAGTCATCAAATCAGCTAGCACCCTGACCGGCAAAAGGCGATACTGGGGTTCATGACCGAAAGGTCTAAGAAGTGTAGGCTTTAACCAATGTCTTCACAGTGGAAAAGGAGTTGGGCAGCTTTAGGATGGATGCCCAAAGTTTAGAAACAAAAACAGAAGTTGCTGGAAAAGATCAACATCTGTGAAGAGAAATCAGAGGTAATGTTTCGGGTCTGAGTTCTGAGGAAGGGTCACCGGATCCAAAATGTTAACTTTGCCAGACCTGCTGAGCTTTCTGAGCATCTTCTGTTTTTGTTTCTGATTTACAGCATCCACAGTTCTTTTGGTCTTGGTCCAAAGTTTGCGGCTCAGTAACTGAAGACATTCCTGCCAAGGGTAGAGTGACTGAAATTGGTTGGGGGTTGTGGGTGGGGGGGGGAGTGCTGGGGGAGGTGGCGGTGGGGGTGCGATGTGCCACAGGCCAGATTTAAAAGTGGCACAGATTGATCTGGTAATCGTTACCCACCGAAACAACACCACTTAAAAATAAACAACAGATAACCTGGGTATTATTCCTCCATTGTTTGGGGGAGCTTGCTCTAAGCAAATTGGCTGCTGCATTTCCTACACAGCAACAGCAACTACTCTGCAATAGTTCTTTGTTGACTGGAAATCACCTTTGATCGTCCTCGGGCTGTGAAAGCTATGACAGAAATGCAAGTTTTTGCATTGACAGCAGCAAGAACAAATGTTTGAGCAACAAGTCTGAACAGCTGCCTCTTTGTTGTAGTTTCTGACCGGATTTAGGGAGGTACCTCGGCAAAGACCAGGAGAGTCGTAGTCCAAATTGTGACATGTGCTTTGCAAGTGTGTGATTTCCCCCTGCCTGCATCCTCTGACTGTCGCAGATTTTAACCCCCTTGCCCCACTGTGCTGCTTTCTTTTGATGGGTGTCTTTTGTTCGTTAGGCTGCAGAGAGGGGTCACCAGGAGGTGTGCAAGGTTTTGCTGCAGCAAAATCCAACCTTGAGGACGGTGCAGGACAGGCGGTGCAGAGCTCCCCATGACCTGGTCACAGACCAGCCGGCATTGAAGGAGTGCCTGCGACCGGAGACCTCCACGTGACACCTGCTTTCCAGGGCTCGCTGTGTTGGCGTAACTGTCCTGCTAGTGGGTCATTTTCAACACTGGCCTTGGCTTCTTCAGTTACTACAGCATGTGGCTGCACTGTCAAGTGACTCAAGTTGTGTCTGATTAACGACGTCTGTGTGCAATCCTCACACTGAACTTGCAGGCTGTCTGATGGGTTGGCTGGAGGCCAGGATCATCTTGTTTCGTTGTTCGCTCAATGCCACAACAATGAAGGCCCAAACCAGGCACGATTGCTGAAACACTGATCCATTAAGATATTAAAATGTCTAAATTAACAAAGCGGTTTTCATGACTTCTTTCTTCCCATTTCAATGTGGTGGTCCCAAATGTACTCCATCGTCTGTTGTAAGTTGACCGTGGCTGGACGTACCAAGAGGGTGGGTTGTGAAGCACATGTGTTCCTGGGTTTCGTAAATGAAGTTATGCTGCACTGTGATGAGGGTCCGGGAGTCCTTCAGAGGGTGCAGAGGAGATTTAACAGAATGATTCCTTGACATAAAGGTTACTTAATCTGATACTTGTTAAGGAGAAAGAATTGTGGGGTAGTCTTTGGAAACGCAAATTTTTCAAATGGGGTAAAGACTAAAAGGAAGAGATTCCAAGGGGAAGCCGATGGCCTAGTGGTATTATTGCTCGACTATTAACCCAGAAACTCAAGTAATGTTCTGGGGACCCGGGTTTGAATCCCACAATGGCAGATGGTGGAACTTGAATCCAATAAAAATCTGGAATTAAGAACCTGCTGATGACAGTGAAACTATAGTCAGTTGTCAATGGCAGACGTCCTTCAATGGGAAGGGTATCCGACGTCCTTAACCGGTCTGGCCTACATGTGACTTCAGACCCACAACAATGTGGCTGACTCTCAACTGACCTCTGAAATGGCCTAGCAAGCCACTTGGTTGTATCAATCACTACAAAGTCTCAACACCTCCAGAGGTTCATGCTCTGAATTAGTGTGGAAAGACTAAGCTTCTTTGAGTGCGAGAGATGGGAATAACACAAAGATTCAAGAATTAGGGCATTCTGGCAACCGGGGAAACGGGTTGTATTTGGAATTTGATGCATGTGGATTTGAGTGACCTGGTGAAGAAGTGTTTGTTCATGGTGGCTGTGGCAATCAGAATGAAATCTTTACAAACTAGTGAAAGTTGGAGTCGACCTTGTGTTCTAATTTAATTTCTTACTCACTTTCTTGCTTCAAGATGGGGGGAGTGGGTGGAAAGAATATTTCCAGGTCATCATCTCGTTTCCTGCCTGAAGGCAGGTCAGACTTTCTGTGCTGTGACTGCCACCACAAGGTGGGCAGAGGAGGCAAGTCCTGAATCCCGTTCCCATGCCTCCCAGCCTTCCTGCTGGAATGGGAATCTCTGACCCTGACACTGTCGGCACTGACCTCATCCGCACCAGCTGTCCAGCCAACTGAACTGACCACCACACCCCCTCAGAGTAGCCGTTGCACCATCTACTTGGGTGTGCAGTTTGGAGCCTGGAGGTAGGGTTAGTGGAGGCTCAAATTTCCTTCCCGTCACCTTTACGACCTGGAATCTCTCCCGCTCTTACTGCCTGCACTTGGCCTGCAATGGAATGGTTTTCTGGCTGATTTCTGAACTGTTTGGCTGCGGCTGTTATCACTAAGCCTTCATTGGCTGTCAAGTTCCAACGCAGGCCCCTTGCCTGGAGCTCGGAGACTGGGCCGCTAGCCACAGACCTCCCATTTGCAGATACTGGGTGTGTTAAATTGAGTCAATCTCAAACTCCATCATTGAGTGTAAGACCTGGAGGCAATTTGTTTAGCCTGCAGAGCTGCTGAGAATTTATTAAATATTCCTGCTCCATACGTACAGTTTTCTTTTGTTAGACAGCCCCTTTTATGCCGCAAGATTTATATTTGTTTGTGGGATCTTACTGTGCGTGAAAAGTGGTAGCTGCATTGTTTGGCACTTCTGAAAGCGCTGCGCTGGCACTGAGGAGCTTTGGCTGGTTCTAAAGTCACAAAAGTGGCCCTTCTTTCAGCGGTGCTTTCGTCGGCACGGGATCTCACCTCCCTCTCCTGTTCCTGAAATTAACCAGCCAGAACTGCAGCCAAGCATTCTCCGCTCTATCGGAAGAGGGAGGCGAATGTAACGGTCAACCCACGTGTTGCTTGCCCAGTTCTCCAGAGGTGCCCATTGTTGCCAGCTGTCACCTGACTACGATTCTAACCATTGTCATGTGATGTCCATTGTTGCATGCTGTCACATGACTGTGATTCTCCCCATTGTCATGTGACACCCATTGTTGCCTGCTGACGCCTTGTCGTGTGACCTCAGTTCCATCCCGTTGTCACGTGATTTCTCATTGTTGTCTGCTGTCACGTGACTCTCCTTGCTACACTCTGTGAAGCTGCCCTTGTTCTGGGGGGAGGGGGGGGAGGGTTGGGTGGAAATGAGGGACGCAGCTGGTGAGCAGGAGCGGGGGCAGGGACACGGACCACGGCAGGCAGCGGCGCCCGGGGACAGCCGTGAGCTTCGGCCAAGGCGGGAATGAGAGCGATGTGAGGGCCGAACGGCTGAGAGGATGCTGAGTGTGGGCGGACTGGCAGCCTACAGGCAGGAGAGCTCCCAGCTCCATGTCTCTGTCCTCTTCAGAGGTGAGCAGTGTTTGTGGCGGTGCGGGGTTTGGGGAGAGGTTGTGGTTCTGGCTGTGCTTTCTCAGTGGCCTCAACCATCGTCTTTGTGGGTGGCTCTGCCTTTACCTCAGCATCAACTTTCCTCAAGCTGTCAACTGACAGCTTTCAAACCCACTGACTGATTTGCTCTACGGAGAGCTGGCATGGGCTCGATGGGCTGCATAGTCTCCTTCAGCACCATTCTGATTCTCGGTTTCTGCCAGCCCGGGTGCCTCCCATTTGTTCCCACAGCTTTCCTCGTTCCTGTTGATCTTCAGTGGATGTTAGAAAAGTGGCTATCATTGCTGCCTCTCAGCATCCGCTTCCAAAATGTGCATTAGTCGGTGAATAAAGCCCCTAGCTTCACAGTGATGTCAAGGTCTTGATGCAGGTGAGGTTGAGGACTTCTTCCCTAATGCTACCCCTCCATCTGGCTGTACGCTACATCACTTGCCCCTTCTGTCTGAGCCATACCTCTGGCCTGTCTCGTCCTTGGAACACCACACTTAGTTCCACACATTCTCTTTGTTCTGTACTGCCCATCCAGAATCACAGCAAGTTCCTCACTGAGATCTCTTCCCTTCTTCTCCTGCCTCATACTCTGTAACAACGAGCTTCCCACATTTGTGTGGTGATTCCAGCCTCCATGATCCCTCATTGTATCCCTCTGGGTTCACAATCTTACTCTCCTCCGTAAATCCCTGTCCTTACGCAAACATTCGTATCCATGCTTCTCCCAAGCTACCCCTATGATCTTTTCGCCCCATGCGGCTTATCAATATCAGTCCAGATAAAGCAATTTCTCAGTTTGTCGTGGTATCGCTTTCAACCCAGTACTCCTCCTCGGCTCCATTTCTCTGTTCAGACCTGGAAGGGTGACAAAAGTCTTCATCAAATTTCCAACTTTTCTAACATTTGGTTGTGCTCGTGACATTTTTTTCTGAGCTACTGATTTGCTGAATCGCAACTTTTCTCCACTAATATTAAAGCCTTTCGCAATCAAAGGGCAAGTGGCCCATATTACAAGGGGACTGGGGCATAGGAATAGGGAAATCTTACTACAACAGTAAATGGCTTTAGTGAGACCCCACCTGGCGTACTATATGCAGTTTTGGACTCCATACTTGAAGGGTAGACTTGTCTTGCAAATGGTACAGTGTAAGTTCACAGGAATGTCCTTTGGATGAGGGGTAAGGGTGAGGGTTTCTAGTTGCTTGCTATTTCAACACACCACTGTATTACCTGGCAGACATCTCTGCCTTGGGCTTGCTGCAGTGCTCCGGTGAAATTCAGTGCAAGCTGGAAGAACAGGATCTCATTTTCCGCTTCGAGGTCCTTGCAGCTTTCAGGACTCAATGCCGAGAATCCATAATTTTAGGGCCAGAACATCATCTTCTATGTCCCGTACCACCTCCCATACCTCAGGCCTTGTCATCACATGGGCTGCTTTCAGCGCAGCCAGCCTATTTTCACATAACTTGTGGTCCCGATTATCAGCTTTCCTCCTTCCTGCTATACCATTTTCCATCCCTTTGTTTGGTTAACTCCCTCTGGGCTTCGTCTCCACCTATTCTCTCACTTCATTACCCATCCCCACCCCCTGTCTTGAGCATTTATGATACCTTTTCTGAGTTACAATCAATTCTGCTGAAGGATCACTGGACTCGAAATGTTGACCCTGCTTTCTCTGCACACATGCTGTTGAGTTTCTCCAGCAATTTCTGTTTTTGCTTTGGATGAAGGGTTCATCCTATGATGAGATGCTGAACAAATCGGGTCTAAAATTCTCTGGGGTTTAGCAGAATGGTGGCGATTCATCGAAACATAACAAGATTATGAAGGGGCTTGACAGTGTAGACACTCAGAAGTTGTTTCTCCCCTGGCTGGGGAGTCTAGACCATGGAGAAGGGACATAGTCTCAGGATGAGGGGACGATGGCTGAGGACTGACGTGAGTAGGAATTTCTCCATTTCGAGTCAGAGTTATACAGCACAGAAACAGACCCCCCGGTCCAACTCGTCTGCACCGACCAGATATCCAAAACTGATCTAGTCCCATTTTCCAGCATTTCCTTCTAAACCCTACTGATTCATATACCCATCCAGATGCCTTTTAGATGTTGTAATTGTACCAGCCTCCACCAGCTCCTCTGGCAGCTCGTTCCATACACGCACCACCCTCTGCGTGAAAAAGTTGCCCCTCAGGTCCCTTTTAAATCTTTCCCCCTCACCTTAAATGTAACGTCTAATTAGTAAGTTTGTGGATGATACACAGATTGGTGGAGTTGCAGGTAGTAATGAGGATTGTCAGAGGATATAGCAGGATAAATATCAGTTGGAAGCATGGGTAGAAAAATGGCAGATGGAATTTAATCCGGAAAAATGTGAGGTGAAAATGTGAAGGTCAAGTACAGGTGGAAATTATGCAGTGAGTGGCAGGACCCTTAGGAGTATTGATGTGCAGAGGGATCTGGGTGTACGGGTCCATAGATCACTGAAGGTAGCAGCGCAGGTAGATAAGGTAGTAAAAAAAAGGCTTATGGCAAGCTTGCCTTCGTTGGAAAGGGCATTGAGTATAAGGATAGGCAAGTTATGCTGCAGCTTTATAGAACTTTAGTTAGACCAAACTT